TTAAGTGAAGAGGAGGATTAAAGGAGAGTTGATCATGGGAAGAGCAAAGAAATGGAACGGCCAGCTAGCTGGAAAGCAGTCAGACCTAGAAACCCAGGGCTACGGACCGCAGCAAACTTCCAGCACAGCATCTCTACCTGCAGGGCCCAAACACAGCATTGAGCAGGAGCCCGTGCCAAATGTAAATTGCTGACCTGCTCTCTGGCAGCTTCAATTTGGGCAGCTGGCTCTCTCCCACATAAAGCTGAGACAGGACTAACACATTCTGGGGACTGCTCTCCCAAACCTGTACTAAGCTGCTGCCACTTGCGGTGTATCTTCAAGAAAAGCGGGAGGCCTGGAGGCACAGGTGTAATACCCTGCAAAGGTCCCGGGGAGCAGCTCTTGACATGGGTACCTGGTGCAGGTCCCCACCACGTGCCTGCCTGCCCTTGCAGTGGACAGGGGTCGCTGCCCCAGCTGGGAGGATGCTCTTGTGTCACACAAGAGCTCCTTGGGGGGGTTGGAGAAGGGGATTTGGGGGAGGAAGAGGAAGGACCTTTGCAAGCTGACCCCGTATGACATCTGCTTGGCAAAGGAGGACAGGAGGGTGACAACCTGGTCTCTTCACACCTATCTTGTCTCTTTGGGGTTCCCTCCAGCTCTCTATGCTCCTTCAGTCAGCTGCTCTCAGTCCTGGGCTGTTCTGCTCATCTTTCTTTGCTTATCCTGGCCCAGATGAAACTGGAAGCTCATGTGTTTTTTAAAATTGTGTCTTTGCTTTTTTAAACTCTGAAAGGCTAATTAATTAAGACATTTGACCTTCTGGGGAGTCTCGGTCTAGAGATCATCCCCCACACAAAGAATCCATTTCAGACAGCAGCTTTTTTTCTCAGGGATGGGCCAACTGCAATGGGAAAAGCCTCCTGCACGCGCCAAGTTCCCTTCCAAGCAACATCACTGGTCTGGACCTCTCCTTCAACCACCTGGTCGTGCCTCAGCATGGGACTCTCTTGATGCATTTCCCTTCCCTGCACTCCCTCAACCTCTCTAGCAATGCCCTGCTGGCGCTGAGCCCAGCAATCTTCTCCAACCTCGGAGCACTGCGTCTGCTGGACCTGAGCAGCTGCAGCATTGCCCATCTCCACACAGATGCTTTCAAGGGCCTGGGAAACTTGCACACACTGCTCCTAAGGAACAACAGTTTGCAAGAGCTTGAAGTCCCTTTCTTCCTGTCACTGAAAGCTCTTTTCCACCTGGACCTGCAGCACAACGCGCTGGTGTCTGTGGACGCTATGAGCCTGCAGCTGATGGAGGCAGTCCCACAGGTCCGGCTGGAAGGGAACCCCTGGGTCTGCAACTGCACCGCACACCCTCTACAGCAGTGGCTATGGCACAGGCAAGGTGAGAGGGCAGCGGGCAGAAGAGGTTTTGGGCAGGAGGAGCCCTGGCTACAGGGGTCCTGCTTGATCCTTTTGCTCCAGTCCCTGGGCGGGTTCCGAGATGGCTTTCCAGGGACCTCTCCCAACCTGTTGAGGGACAGCAAACTGGAAAGTGATGTGTCTGCCCCTTGCTTGCAGTTATACACGATATCAAAGATTTCTAGGTATGACAGCAGGATAATTTAGCCACTTGCCTGGGACAGGGGCTGCATATACACTTCAGCCCCTAAATCCACCTAAGTGTATCAACATGGAGTGACCGCAATTTCAAGAGCTGCTGACCACTTGGCAGCTCCTCCTGTGGAACTGGATCTGCCTCCAACCCTCTGAGCTGGGCTCCCAGGCAAGAGCAGCCCTGCGACAGTGGGATTTCTATCAGTATTCATGAATTTGGCATTATCTAGTTAAAAGGAGCCTGCTGATCATAGCCACACACTTGCATGGTTCCTTGGTCTGGCAATTTTTAATTTGGTTATGCCTTACAATGTGCTGAAAGCCAGCAAGGCTGGAGGGCAGAGCCAGGAGCACTTTGTAATGTGTCCCATCAACGCAGGAGCAAGCAGGGATCATCTTCTCTAAACTGTGAAGGGGATGGACAAAGACCCCCTGACCCACCTTAGGTCATGTTTCTCCCAGCTGTGCAGGTGACCTGCGCATCGCCCCCATGGCTGCGGGGCCGGGAAGTTGCAGCTCTGGATTCCCAGGACCTGGGCTGCCGGATGAAGAAGCGTTTTCCTCGGGGGCTCAGCACAGCACAGCAGATCACAGTAACCCACAGCAACAGTGAGTTGTGCTGCTAGGAGGTGTCTGTAAGGTGTAGTTCCCTCCTGCTCTCCGTTGCCCCAGAGGGGACTGCAGAAGACCCCCTGCTCTGTCCCACGGTCCCAGGGGCTCAGGCCGCCTGGTCACTTCTGGTGCAGTGGCTTGGCGGGGAGGGTAGCCACCACCTGGAGGTGTTTGTTGGCTTCACAGCAGAAAAGTTAGCAAATGCCACAAAGCCACAAGGAGCACAGACTCCACAGTGATGGGCACCAGTATCAGACAGCCATCTGGCAGTTTTCCCCGCAGTGTTCACATTCCCCTGGCAGCTAGCTCTTGGTGAAGAGCATTTATTTCTTCTCGGTGACAACCGATGGTAGGACGAGGGGTAACAGGTTTAAACTGGAACACAAGAGGTTCCACCTAAATTTGAGAAGAAACTTCTTCTCAGTAAGGGTAACAGAACACTGGAACAGGCTGCCCAGGGAGGTGGTGGAGTCTCCTTCTCTGGAGACATTCAAAACCCACCTGGATGCCTTCCTGTGTAACATCATCTAGGTGTTCCTGCTCCAGCGGAGGGATTGGACTAGATGATCTTTGGAGGTCCCTTCCAGTCCCTAACATTCTGTGATTCTGTGATTTATATTGCTCCTAATAAAAGCAATCCAGTGCCGGCTGCAATCTGCAGGCATGCACAGGGCTGGCTGCTGAGGAGCGCTGGGTGTGCCACAGGCTGACCTCCTGCGTCCTGATGTGCCTTTCCTTCACCGCAGCCACCACACCGCCCGCTGGGAAAGCGGGAAGGAGCTGGCCGTACCTGGTGGGCTTCGTGGTGGCAGCAATTGGCATCTCCATCCTGATCGCACTGGCTGCCAAGTGCAAGCTCTTCCACAAGAACTTCACCAGCTACCGCCACCGGCCACTTCCTGAAACCAGCTCTGTTGGAGGCAGCCCCATGGAGGACGGCAGCAGCTGGGACAGGGGCTTCTCAGGCAGGGAGACCTGCGAGAGCCACCCCATACCCGGTGCTGCTGACCTCCAAGGTGAGGATGACGATGGCTTCATCGAGGACAACTACATCCAGCCAAGTGAGCAGCTACCAGAGGAAGAGGAGCAGGAGTCACATCTCTCCATCTGAGCCTGCAGCCCCAGCCACCAACACTGTGGGTTCTTGCTGTCTCTCCACCTCCATCCCCTTCCTTTCCTTTCCCACCTGCCCTGAGCTTTTGGCCCCACGGGGCTGGGGACAGGAGGAAAGGAGCGAAGATGCAGAGAGAGAAGAGGTGGGCTGGAAATAGTGATGGGGGCTGAAGGCAGCCAGCTGCGTAGTGCCCCAGCATGACGCTTTGGGGCTGCACCAGCACAGGGACACTGGACCCACTGCTGCCCTCCCAGCCCTGCTCAGATGCTGAGGATGAAGGAGATGGTGCCTATTGCACTTGGGCAGCCTGGTGGGGTGGGAAGAGGAGCCTGCCCTGGTGCTCCCTGCAGGATCTCGGGCTCTGGCTCCAGTGCCCCACCGTGTGGGACCCAGCCCTGCTCTGTCCCTCAATGTGTTGTCACTCCAGGTTGTGATTAAAACATGATTTAACCCTGCCTCTGCTTGCAATGGTTTGTTGGGGCTCCCCTAGCAGTGGTGCTGGGAGGATACCCCTGCACCCTGGGGTGTAGCTTTCTTTGCATGTGCTTTCAAGGACTGTAAATACATTCCTTGTTAACTGTGGCATCGAGAGAACAGGTCTGGCACAATGAGGGCTCTTGTGCAAACAAACCTGTCGGCTGCTGTGGCGTAGACAGCCCTGGTGCGTCGTCATTGCGGTGTTTCCATGCGTGTCTCTCCAGCGTTGCTTCCTAATGCTTCCCTTCTCTGTTTTCCCTCTTCCCTCTCCAGCAAGACGTGCTGGAAAGTCACTTACCTTCCCTGCGTCACCTCTGCAGAGCTGAGCAAACTTGCTGGAAAGGCCAGTTGCAGCATCATGCAGGCACGTGCGCTGGGGCGAGACAACCCTGTCCCCCAGCACGCATTACAGAGTTCCATCTGTATCTCTAACTGTGGAGTTACGTGAACATTATAATTTTTGCATTCCTGTCATCTTTGTGGTACGATAAACAGCACATGAGACACAGGCAACTGCAAGTTGTTTCTGCTGTAGCTGGTCGTGCCTATGTTGGTCACGCTGGAGTTAAAAGCAGGGAGCAGCAGTGGCATTCACCCTCCTTAGTAAGTGATTCACAAGGCCGGTACCTGGGAAGATTTCCCAGGGCACAGCCCAGTTGTTACTGTCCCTGATAGCCTGGGAATGTCTCTGTCATGCTCCAGAGCATGAAGCATCGTCACAGGGACAGCACTTCCTTGCAGTCCTGCCACACAGCTGATTTCCCCATCTCCATCAAACCTCCGTGTCACTGTGAACTGCCTTTCTATTTCTCTGCTCATTAAGATATTTATAGAGCACAGTGTGTGCAAAAGTAAATAATACAAGTCAGAGAATGTAAACCAAAGGGGACGGCTAGGTCAAGTGTTGGATAGGAGATACAGGCCAGTGATGTTACGCACTTTCCAGAGAGGGAACGTGCCTTTCAAAGCCATGAGGAGGAGGAGAAAAATGTGCTGGCTTGTTTCACTGGTCAGCCAGTTTTTCTCTTAAATGCCATATTTCTAAACTGAGCTTTACTTTTGCAGTCAGCGCCTCATGTTTTGCCTTCCAGGCGCTTCTTAACAGCTACATGTGAAAATACAACATATGCTGTAATTTTTTTGAAATTTCTAGTATCTTTCAGGTAAGATAGGAAGACTTAAATCTGAGGGGTGGGAAAATGCATTTCAGTTATCTTTTGGAGGGAATTTTTGGCTTTTCAACATGCTTTTCAATTACACAAACTCTTACAAGATGCAGTATTTTACTTTTGATTTCAGCACCATCTTAAAAGAGATTAAAAATGCAACTGCCCAGGTTTACTTATCCAAGATCTTGTTCAATTTTGGACCCTCAGGACCTAATGGTGCGTTACTTTTCTACTTTGATCCCACTGGGAGGCCCACCCGTTTATTCTTTAACCGAGCAGATGTGTCTGTTTTTCAGGTGTGCGGGGGATCCCGGTCCTATGGCATCTCCTTTACCCCTCCTCGGGCAGCTTCAGTGCAAGCAGGCAGGAATCTGGCAGCTTGCATAGCGGGGAATGCATCTGACATGGGAATAAAAGGGGGTCAGAGCAGAAAAGGAGGAGTCTTCTCCAGGGGGATGCTGCCAGGAAGCTGCTGCAAGAGCCGCGGTTGCGTCTGGCGGACGGAGCAGTGGCAGGTATGCCGGCAGACAGGTTCCAGGCTCGCTGCAGGAGCTGCTGCTGCCGTGAGGCAGGAGCTGCTGCTGCCGTGAGGCTCGGTCCTACCGCAGGGCGAAAGAGCTTCTCTGTAAACAAACCCCTGACATATTCAGGAGGCTTTGCGCGTTCCACGCGAGCATCTTTCACGGGCAGGGCAAGGTGTTTGGTTCGCAGAGCAGTGCTAAGGGGGACTGTCGGCATCTAGGTCCTTACGAGAGGGTTGCATGTGCATCTGGGGACGAGAGTCGTGTCTCAGGAAATAAGCACATGCATTTAGTGGTGTAGTGGTGTTGCTCCACTAGCTGATGAGTCAAAACCACAGCCACAGGAGAGACACTGGGCTGTCATGATTTCTGCCCTGGGCTCAGCTTAAGCAGAGGCCAGTTCTGCACAGCCCTGCCACCTCCTGCTCTGCAGAGATGCCAACACTCAAGCATCAGCCTTCAACTCGGTCAGCTTCTGTAACTCTTTATTATGTATTTCCACGCAGAACACAGGAACCAAGAGAGGAACAAACCAGCACCACGGCTGCAGAGTGAGTCAGTGACTGGGGCAGTGCAGGCTGTCCATGTGGGCAGCCAGACACCCAAACCACCATCTTCAGGGACAGCCTGTTCTCAGCCATTATTTCCTCAGGCTGCTGACACAGGTCACGAGCATCCTTTTCTGGCACAATTCGTGGGCCCTTGGGCCACATCTTGGGCAGAGTCACACTAGCATGCAGGCATCATGGATTTGCGTTCTGCGCACAGTCATGCATCTTCACAGAAATGCCCAGATGTGCAAAACAGCTGGTGTGCAGGCAGCTGCGGCATGTGAACACATGCAGGGTAGAGGAGCTGGGAGTAAATGGTAAAACATTGATGCAGGCAGGGGCGATGCAGCTTGGCATAACTGCGCAGGCACCAGCACAGACGTGCAGAGCAGCAACAACAGCGGTAGTGCAAAACTGTCAGCTCTGGCCTGTCCCTCCCTGCGCACACACAGGGGTCCTGCTGGGCCTGGGGTCAAATGGCCTAGGGGGGAAGGAGAGCTCTTTGCCTTGCAGATGATTTAGCACAGAAGGACCTGAACTTTGTAGCACCCTCTGAACTCTTGGGTAGGTTAAGGGAAGTGATGCAGAGAGAGGAGGAAAGAGCAGTTTAATAAAATCTACAGATGGTGTGAAAGTGGAAGAGGAAAATGTAGACATAACAGAGATCCAGAAAGAAAAGTCAAAATTATGTTCCCATACTTTGGGGAAAACAATCCAAGGCTTCAGGGGAAGGAAAGCCAGCAGGAGCAGGGTAAGAGCAGGTGAATACAGAAGTGATCTGAGTGTGTTAGGGATGGTGTGGCCTAGAACTGTGAAGGGATGAAGTCCTCATTGTCTGGAGTATACCTGATGGGATTCACTGATGCTGAACTCTGGCACTGCCTCCAGGTGTAACACTGACAGTGATTCATGCTGTGACTAAGGGAATGAGCTACCGTCCTCTTTCAAATAAATTTGCTACCAGACACCAAAAAACAACAGCTCAGTCTTGTTCCATTACAGAGGCAACTTAGCAAATAACGAGCAAAAATATTGGCTGGGGTAGAGCAGCTCAGGTTAGGGGAGACAGGAGCAGACAGAAGATGAAGAGAAGGTGATGCAGAAGCAGCTCGGCTAGGAGGTTAGGATCTGGGTCTATGGAAAGGGCAGTGAAATGGTTCATGGATCTATGGCAAAAATGAGAATTTTGACAGGTAAATTAGCCTCAAGTCACAGGAAAAGCTCCTGGAGGTGAGCTGTTAGTCTGCCTCTGGGAAAGACATCTCGATGATAGACATTTTGTAGAGATAAAACACCAAAAAAGCTCCAGTTAAGGCCCAAGTGATAGCGGAAGGACTTTTCTGCCCCGCAGCAGCTGCAGCACTCGTGAGACTGAAACAGATACAGTGTGGGAACACAGGGGAACTAGGATGAGCCATAGTTTTCCTGCAGCAGCAGAGGCGCCTCGGCTTTCAAAATGCCTGTTGCAGGGCAACAGGACTTCCCCCTCACACAGCCCTTGCAGAGCAACATCCCCAGCCCCAGAATTCAAGGATCCCATCACCATCCCCCAGCAACTGCACCTTGCTGTTTGTGGCTCGTGTGGCTGCAGCACGCTGGTGTGATAACAGAGCCCCAACACACAGTTCAGCACGGATAACCCGTCAGGGCCCTGACACCAACACCCTTTGATGGGGCTCTGGCACACAGGATCCCATGCAAATCCCATTCTTGCTCCCGCAGACACACAGGTGCTTTCTGGGCAGCAGCCCCTGCAGCCCGCCCTCCCACCAAACTCCTTTCAATTGTGCTACATGCCTACTGACATGCAGAATATTTCCGGCCATTCATCAGCTGCCAGAGGGTCTACTTTGCTCAGGAGCTGAGGCCTCTGCATGGAGCACAGGGTGGTTTTATACCACCCACAATCACAGCCTCTCCTGCTGGGAGAGCACACAACAGAGCTCCAGGAACTGCAGTAACCAAGGAAGTACTGGGGTCCCCAGGAGTACAGGACAGGCTCACCTTAACTCTGTGACAGGTGTCACAGCCAGGCAGGCAGCAGCTGTTGCAGGAGGCTTTGTGCAGGAGATAAAACACCAGCCAGGCCAGCACTGTGCTCCTAACACAACAGGTCGCAGAGCCCATCCAGGCACTGCAAGTCTGTGCAGTGCCGTCAGCCTGGGGCAGTGCAAATGCCAGTCAGCTCTGAAAGAAGTGCAAGGCACACCACGATGCTCGCCTTTCCTCTGGGAAAGGCCGGCACAAGCCCTGCTAATGGGTCGTATCCAGCGAGGCTC